CCCTTTCTCACAATACAAGAACTCGTGTGCACTCCATGAAACTGCAGAGCGGTCGGGTTAGAATGGGTAAGAGGAAGTACTTCTTCACCCAAAGAGTGATTAACACTTGGAATTCACTGCCACAGGAAGTGGTGGCGGCTACAAGCATGGACAGCTTCAAAAGGGAATTAGATAAGCATATGGAGCAGAGGTCCATCTGTGGGTATTAGCCACAAGGTATAGATAGGAACTCACAGGCTGGGGCAGGTGATGCGCTGTATTCCTGGTGCTTGGGGGGGGGGAACGGTGGGAGGGCTTCTGGTGTCCTGGCCCCACTGGTGGACCTCCTGAGGGCCCCTGGTATTTTTGGCCACTATGTGACAGAGTGTTGGACTGGATGGGCCATGGGCCTGATCCAACATTGGTTTCTCTTATATTCTTATAAGTCCCAGGAAATCCAGAAAGGATCAAAAAAGTCAGGTGGTCAGAAATCACACGAAGATTCCCTTTTGGACTGATTTCCCGGGACTCCTCTGGATCCTTCTTGCTCGACCATGTCTTTATGAGAGTCTGTTATGTTGTTCTATGTATTACATATTTTCATGACCTTTTAATACATACGTTAGGATATTTTTGCGTTCTGTTACAGTGTATTTATCATTACTGTGTCTGTACACCCACTGTAATCCTTCTTGTGTATCTGCAATGTCACCCGGGCATTCGTATCGGGCAAGCCGACCTACACAGCTCGGGACTGGGGTATCCCACACGGCCCTGCCTGCGAACTAAAATCCGGGGAGAGACCCTCTTCAACTTGGCTTCTCTTATATTCTTATGATGCCCAGGAAATCCAGAAAGGATCAAAAAAGCCAGGTGGTCAGAAATCACATGAAGATTCCCTTTTGGACTGATTTCCTGGACTCCTCTGGATTCCTTCTTGCTCGACCATGTCTTTATGAGAGTCTGTTATGTTGTTCTATGTATTACATATTCTCATGACCTTTTATTAATACATAACTCACGTTAGGATATTTTTGCGTTCTGTTACAGTGTATGTGTCATTACTGTGTCTGTACACCCACTGTAATCCTTCTTGTGTATCTGCAATGTCACCCGGGCATTCGTATCGGGCAAGCCAACCTACACGGCTCGGGACCGGGGTATCTAAAGGTCTGCCTTCTCCCACACGGCCCTGCCTGCGAACTAAGATCACGGGGAGAGGCCCTCTTCAATGTCAGCCCCACGGGGTGGAACCGCCTCCCCAAGGGAGAGAGATGCGCCTGGCCGCCTCCCTTCCAATCTTTGGGAGGCAGTTGCAGCTGGTCTTATTTAGGACTGAAAAGTAACCAAACAATGCAGCACACAACACAAAAGTGCATTTTTGGTCCTGTTCTACATAGTGGCAACCTTGAGAGGAGACCTGGCCCATAAAGAAAGTGAACAATATTGTCTTGTAAAGACATTGGAATGAGACTTTCTATTGTGGCTCTTTGTTCCTGAGGAAGGACCAGAAGTCTGAAACACTGTATACTACCTAGGAAAAGTGTTGGATATATACTTTGGACTTGATGCATTCTGTGGACTTCTATATTTCCTATGATGGATTTTATGTACAGATTTATTGCTGGTTACATATGTGTTTCACTTTGCTGAAGTCTCTTTTTGTACACTGACTACTGTGGCTATTTCAGCACACAGTTGTTTTGCTGTTACTTGCCTTATTTAGGACTGCACTTGGTTAAGCTTACTAGGAGTCCTCCTGAAGTGCAATTTTAAAGTTTTTTTTAAATGTATTTAGCATTTTTTATATGTTTTATCTATACTGTAAGCTGCTCAGAAGGAAGGAAGGAAGGAAGGAAGGAAGGAAGGAAGGGAGGATAGTACGTAGGGTCGT